GCAAGCTGTATTGAAAATATTGGAGGAAAATTTGCACCGTTTTTGTAAATAGAGAATTGTGCAAGCTTTATTGAAAATTTGTAGTACAAATTAAGCTCCTAGATGGTGCATAGGGGAAGGGAAAACTTCAATGAAAATTAATGGTGGAAAATTTACACCCTTCTGGTGATGGAGGGGCAAGCTTATTTGCAGAAAATTGGTGTAAATTACTAAGTGATGGTGAATCGAAGGGCAAGCTGTATTGAAAATATTGGAGGAAAATTTGCACCGTTTTTGTAAATAGAGAATTGTGCAAGCTTTATTGAAAATTTGTAGTTCAAATTAAGCTCCTAGATGGTGCATAGGGGAAGGGAAAACTTCAATGAAAATTAATGGTGGAAAATTTACACCTTTCTGGTGATGGAGGGGCAAGCTTAATTGCAGAAAATTGGTGTAAATTACTAAGTGATGGTGAATCGAAGGTCAAGCTGTATTGAAAATATTGGAGGAAAATTTGCACCGTTTTTGTAAATAGAGAATTGTGCAAGCTTTATTGAAAATTTGAAGTACAAATTAAGCTCCTAGGTGGTGCATAGGGGAAGGGAAAACTTCAATGAAAATTAATGGTGGAAAATTTACACCCTTCTGGTGATGGAGGGGCAAGCTTATTTGCAGAAAATTGGTGTAAATTACTAAGTGATGGTGAATCGAAGGGCAAGCTGTATTGAAAATATTGGAGGAAAATTTGCACCGTTTTTGTAAATAGAGAATTGTGCAAGCTTTATTGAAAATTTGTAGTACAAATTAAGCTCCTAGATGGTGCATAGGGGAAGGGAAAACTTCAATGAAAATTAATGGTGGAAAATTTACACCCTTCTGGTGATGGAGGGGCAAGCTTATTTGCAGAAAATTGGTGTAAATTACTAAGTGATGGTGAATCGAAGGGCAAGCTGTATTGAAAATATTGGAGGAAAATTTGCACCGTTTTTGTAAATAGAGAATTGTGCAAGCTTTATTGAAAATTTGAAGTACAAATTAAGCTCCTAGGTGGTGCATAGGGGAAGGGAAAACTTCAATGAAAATTAATGGTGGAAAATTTACACCCTTCTGGTGATGGAGGGGCAAGCTTATTTGCAGAAAATTGGTGTAAATTACTAAGTGATGGTGAATCGAAGGGCAAGCTGTATTGAAAATATTGGAGGAAAATTTGCACCGTTTTTGTAAATAGAGAATTGTGCAAGCTTTATTGAAAATTTGTAGTTCAAATTAAGCTCCTAGATGGTGCATAGGGGAAGGGAAAACTTCAATGAAAATTAATGGTGGAAAATTTACACCTTTCTGGTGATGGAGGGGCAAGCTTAATTGCAGAAAATTGGTGTAAATTACTAAGTGATGGTGAGTCGAAGGTCAAGCTGTATTGAAAATATTGGAGGAAAATTTGCACCGTTTTTGTAAATGGAGAATTGTGCAAGCTTTATTGAAAATTTATAGTACAAATTTAGCTCCGAGCTGGTGTATAGGAGGAGGGGAACCTTCAATGAAAAATACTGGTGGAAAATTTACACCCGTCTGGTGATGGAGGGACAAGTTTTTCTGAAAATTTGTGGTGGAATATTTACAGCGTTCTGGTCAATGGAGGGACAAGCTTTTCGTTTTGGAAAATTGTGGTGTGAAATTTGCACCGTTAAAGTGAATAGACTGGGTTTAACTGGAAATTCCTGATGTAAAATTTGATTGTACTGTTCAATATAACTGCAAGGTGTATTGAATATTTATACACAGCAAAAAAAATTATAATATCAGCCGGCGGCTGAAAGTCTCTTAAATAAACAAAATAAATCAATCAATCACTTTAGTATCACATCACACACAAATTTGCAACGTTCTGGTGAATGGAGGGGCAATATTAACATTCATGGCATTATTAACATATTAACAAATTGCCTATTAGGACAAGCTATATCGAAGATTTCTGATTGGAAATTTTCCTCATGCTGATGAACGGCGAGGAATAAAAATATTACAAATAAATATTTCTCGTGGAACAATCGCACTGAAATGGTCCATGGATGTCTAGTTTTCAGAAAATTTCTGCTGTGAAAATAGCACCGCATCGGAGCATTTTGGGAGGAGGTTAGTTTCATAGCAAATAACGGGTGCAAAAATTGGTATGAAAAAGACAAATAGGGGAGAATGGTATACAACGCACCCCCTGGGTAGAACGCACCAGCAGACTTTCATTTGTGTGTTTCATGGCTTTTACGTAACTTTTTTGTTGTCTTATCAGGCAGCACTTCTAGCATAGCATCTGAACTCTAAATTCTGCATGATAAATCCTTGAATTGGATTAAAAATTCCAAGAAAAACTCAAAATAAAATGAAAAAGTGCGTCTTACCCCGGGGGTACGTTATGTATGTATGTTATGTACTGACTCTCTCATACCATCGCAAATTCTGCACAGTGTAAAATGAAACAATCGTTCTGCCCTTTTTCGGTTGATGCGCTGTGTGGAAGCAGGTTTATTTTTAGCATTTCTGTTGCCCTCCCGTTCTGAATGAAACCTTCTGTATACAGCGCAGCAACCGAAAAAGGGCAGAACGATTGTTTCATTTTACACTGTGCAGAATTTGCGATGGTATGAGAGAGTCAGTTTGAGTATTTGTCTTTTTCATACCAATTTTTGCACCCGTTATTTGCTATGAAACTAACCTCCTCCCAAAATGCTCCGATGCGGTGCTATTTTCACAGCAGAAATTTTCTGAAAACTAGACATCCATGGACCATTTCAGTGCGATTGTTCCACGAGAAATATTTATTTGTAATATTTTTATTCCTCGCCGTTCATCAGCATGAGGAAAATTTCCAATCAGAAATCTTCGATATAGCTTGTCCTAATAGGCCATTTGTTAATATGTTAATAATGCCATGAATGTTAATATTGCCCCTCCATTCACCAGAACGTTGCAAATTTAACACTACAAAGCAAAAAATAAATTTTAATATAACATCCAAGAGGATGCACTTCAATCATGTCAAAAACCTCATGTAATTTGTATGGTCACAAAAATAAACAATTGCAGTAAAAGCAGCGTAATGTCAGTTCATGCACTGTATTAATGATAATTTTGTCCTTTTTGGCAAGTCATTTAACACCATATTATCGACAGATTGAAGTGTATCCACTTTGATGGGATACTAAAGTGATTGATTGATTTATTTTGTTTATTTAAGAGACTTTCAGCCGCCGGCTGATATTATAATTTTTTTTGCTGTGTATAAATATTCAATACACATTGCAGTTATATTCAACAGTACAATCAAATTTTACATCAGGAATTTCCAGTTAAACCCCGTCTATTCATTTTAACGGTGCAAATTTCACACCACAATTTTCCAAAACAAAAAGCTTGCCCCTCCATTGACCAGAACGCTGTAAATATTCCACCACAAATTTTCAGAAAAACTTGTCCCTCCATCACCAGACGGGTGTAAATTTTACACCAGTAATTTTCATTGAAGGTTCCCCTCCTCCTATACACCAGCTTGGAGCTAAATTTGTACTATAAATTTTCAATAAAGCTTGCACAATTCTCCATTTACAAAAACGGTTTGTTTGAATACATCTGTGTCACACTGTATATATACTTACAATAAATAACAAAAATTTCGTTAAGACTGTGCAAAAATGTGTCATTTACCCTTGGGGGTATATATTATTGCAGATTTATCAAGTTTTGCACTACAATACGTTGTACGTGACGCTATATAACAGCTCATCAAATCGTTTAGAACTACTCAAATCATAAACTTATGACCAATTTTTATAGAAAGTTTATAGCACTAGTAAATTATTAAGGGTGACTTTATGGACTTCATAGTAACAATACCAAACCTGTTAAAAAAAACTGGTGAATACAAGCCATATAACCAAAGAAGAAAGCTAAGATGAAATGAAACAGGCAGAAGAAAAAAACATAGGAAATTGAAAGGTCGCCATTGACTACGAAGACTTAACAATATCCATTTCTATTATATAGATCTTTATATTCCCAACATCGTTAGTATTACTTAAACAATAATTTGCATTAGTTAGAAAACTCTTCATTTTAGGGAGATTATGAAAATAAACTCTAGCACCAAGATTTTATCACTAATTTATATTTTTTATACCGGGTACATTTGAAAACTGACTAAATGGATAAAATTCTCGCAAAGTTAAAAAAACAGTTGAAAACTGGAATAACTGTTCAAAAACTATGAAGAAATGCTATTTAAGAATATTTAAAGAAAATTCAAAGTTTTATGTTGTCAAAATCGAATATAATTTTGGCCGTGGTTTTGGCAACATCGATTTAAACTTGTTCTTACATGACGCAGCCATTTACAAATACCTCTAGCGTATAATTTCATCAAATGCAGCATTATTTAAAAAAAATAGCAATCGAAGCTTGTGAAAATGAAATGGAAATACATAGAAACTTGTATTTGATTAAAAAATTTAAAATCACCGGTGTCATATGATTAAGTTTGACAGAAAATTCAGTTTCGGTTGAACGGTTACGGTTACCTAGTGATCACTCCATCCGGTCCAAATCATCATCTTACCGCCCCTCGGTGGGTGTTTGTACAATTTGTTAATTAAGTGTGAAACAACGAAATTATAATTTTGTTTTCAATTCCGATTTAAACATTGAGCTGTAAATCTTTGGGATCGAAAAAAATATCATTGTGCTCAGAGCACGAGCTCTTTCAGAAGATGATATATTTTGGCAAAATTAAAGAACCCAACCTAATCTTCCATCAAAAAGAGTTGCACCCCCCCCCCCCACTCCCCCTAATTCGAAACCTTGCTACGTCCATGTTCTAATTCGTAACTGTCACAATGAGGCCACTTATGTATTTTACCACAACAAATTGGTATGAATTTCATTGATTTGCCTTATGAAAAATAATGTGGGCAAAAAACAAATGTAGTGGAGATGACTAGAACCGAACTATGGACTTGAGATCACGTGTCCTGAGTCTGCGACACTAGTTTAACATTGCTTAGAAGAATGGGATGGCTAAAGGCGTCAAAGAGGTATTTCTTGTTAGACGAAAATCTTTCATTAGTCGCGCTTATGAAATTCGAATGTGTCGTTCATAAGTCGAGCCTTATGAAATTCTTAAGTTTATTTGCCTCAGTGTACCATTGGGATTGCTGAAGTGTGATTGTGTCAGTGATTTGTTTTCATCGGGAAATTTTTTCGCTAAGAAGTTTTTTTTTCCCGATGAAAAAATATTGCGTATACGTATACGTGACATAGTGTGCGTACGATAAACGTCAGCAAAAGCAATTAACATTGTTCCATTTTCATTCCAAACTAGTTTGTTGAAGTGAAACGAAGGTAATCGAAGTTTTTTATTAACAAATGGATGACAAAAACAAAAAAACCGCGGCAATATTGGCGTAAAGAAAAGAACAAAAATGCTCTTAGCAATGTCGCCAAGAAAAACCCATCGATGGCTGCATCGATGCAAAAGTTTTTGGCTTCAAAACCAAAAACAAGCAGCACAATAGGTAAGTAAAGTTTTAATTTCTTTGATCCGTAGGCACACATGTCTATGCACGTAGTGGTTATGTTCGATGTTCATTGCATTTGTTGAGCTGTTCTTGTACGCCTTATATTTAAGTCTATTCATACGGGGCTCTTGGTCATATTGAGACTGTCTCCGCATGACGATTCGAAGATTGCGAGTTCGATGCCAGGCAATGTTTTTTGTATTTTGTTATTTTTTTTAATATCGCCATGAAAAAAAAACTAAATGTTTGACAGGTAGCTGACCTAGCGCTTAAGCCCTGTTGACATACATGCTGATTCGCAATGCTGATTCACCGTAGGTGATGTAAATATGCAATTGTTCGAAAAACCGATGCGGCAACATCAATCAGCTGCAAAAAAAAACTGTTTACATGATGCTGATAACGCTTATCTTGAGCAGTAGGCGCTCAACAGCATATCAATCAGCATGTATGTCAACAGGGCATTACGGTTTGGACTTAGAGAAATTTCGTGATTTCCGATGATGGTGTGATCAAAAATAATGGCAATTTGCGAGCACGCACGTGCGGGGGAGAATTGCGTGTGAACTGAATACAATGGTGTTTGCTTTTTATCGAATATTGTTGTTGAATGTTATGCTTTGTTCCCGCGTACGTGCGTAATGTGCTATCATTTTGATTCACACTATTTATCATTGGAACATGAACGACGGAACATGAACGAGCTGTGAAAAATCGAGTTAAAAGTCTATGGGATTGAATAATACCATTGTGCTCAGAAAACGAAGCCCTTTCAGATGATGTATAACCAATATTTTTTTCCTAATTAAAGAACCCAATTCACCAGATACGAACCCAATGAATGATTCAGGCGAGGATTCGTCATCTGATGACTTGTTGGTCGAAAACAATCCTGACACTGGTAACAAAATGCAAGAAAAGGATTCCAGCACAGACAAAACGCCAGCTATTACGGGGGATCAAAAGAAACAGTCTTGTTTTTCCGGTAAATACATAAAGAAATATTTATCAACAAATAAACAAAATCAGCCCTCATATGATAATTTCTATAGCAATTGTTAATCTCATCAACATATTTTTGACTTGCGACAAACAATATTTTATTACAGATCGATAAAAGTTTTACGATTATTCCTACAAAAAATAACAAAAAATAATTAAAAAAAAAAAACATTTTTCGATGCTACTAAACCATTAGATATCACACGTGTTAATTGTTATTGGGGACCCAGGCCATAATACACATCGAAAGAGTAGTGGGGAGCAGGTGCTAGGTTGACTCATCCTAATGCCTAACCTCGTGCCTAACCACAATTTTCAAGTTATCATGGGATAAAACTGAGCTATATCTGATGTCGTTTGTGTATTTATGATACTCGATTACTGCATTTACAGGGTTAGACTTAAAGGTAACACTTAAATTATGACGTAGCGTTCTACACGAGCTTTGTATGCGCACTCAAACCATCAAAAAATTTTGCCTTAAATAAGCCAGAAATACCTTCTACTACTAGAAGGTATTTCCTGCTTATTTAAGGCAATTTTTTATGGTGTTAGGGGTTCCAAAATGCGACCACCGGTCGGGATGAGGCCACCTTCTCCTATGTGTATGTCAAAAACGTTTCAACATCTTTTTAATGATTTGTAAGTAAAATATGTGTTTTTTTTTTTTTTTTGTTTAATAATTTATTTGATAAGGCTCAACCGAATTAACTTTACAGAGCCGAGGATTCTTGGTCACTATACAATACATCTTAAAACTATAGTCAAAAGGTACAACACAATAAACACTCTATCTTCCGCTATCCAAAAAGCCTCCTCCATCAGAACTGGAGCCGCTTCCAGTAGTTTCATTGTATGGCAAATTGTTGTACGCCAACGAGGGTCAGAGCGCGTCCATTGCAGCAATGGACGCAAAATGTGGTCAGCACTCACACACTCATCACGAAACGGTTGCTTTCCAAAGTCGACGACGCATCGACCGAAAGAACTGCTGATGAAGAACAATGAGGAGGACCACACAATGGTTGCTGCCGAGGAAACAGACGATCGCGTAGCACACATCGAGAGTGGCCTGCTTTTGTCGACAGCCGAGTGAACACTGAAGTAAAATATGTGATTATAACATCTATTGATTTAGCAAGGCAACCTTAGAAATTTGGCTTGCAGAACGCATTTAGAAAATTAATATAATTAACTTAAAATATCAAAATGTCTTCATTAAAAATTGTCCGTTGTTGGGTTGATTTATGTTTCTTTTTAAGTGTGACGTGCAATACATTCGGATTTAACACGTTGCGGCACTTCGCAGTAATGTATCAAATACGGATGTATTGGCCACCGCACTTATGGAATTGCTATACAACTGAAAAAAAAAAACAACTTTCTTTGATTTAGGTAATGCCCGTCCAGCAGCGTGTCCCGTTGACTCCACCTACTCTGAGCATACGATTACGGATTCTGGTGATTCAGCGGCCTCTGTAAGTGTTTTCTTTTCTATGCATCTTAATAAGGTTGATACGGTCCGGAAGACTGTGCTTTATGGCCACTTCACAATTTCCGGAGCCCATATATCAACTACCAGAAAACATACAATACAAAATTGTTTCCTGGTGTGTGTGATTCGAGTTGCATCCTCTTTGGTATCGTAGCTCTAAACTTGATTGTTGAAAAATTATTGGAAAAAGATATAAAAAATCTGAAAGAAAACAGTTTTTCCTGCTGATTTCAAAGAAAATTTAAGTATAAACACTTTTTTGTATCTCATGACTTAAATAAATTCGAGAGATCTGATTTTTCGGTTTTTCAAATCGATTTTTTTTAAATTCTGAGATAGAAAACACAATGTATACGTAAATTTTATTTGAAATTTGAATAGAAACTAATATTTTTAGATGTTTTATATCTCTTTCCAATTGCTTAGACAATTTAAAACGTGAATTTTTCGGCGGCGTCGTAACCTTATTCTCATTTAAGGTCAGCGGTACTGCGAGAAGGTCGATATTATCCACATCGAAGCTAAGTCGTAAAAGGAAATTTACGGAAAATATGCCGAATGAGGCTACTGATGCTTCGAAAAGGTATACAACATTCTGAAATTAAAATTAAATAACACACAAAGTTGTATTTTTTTTTTTCAAATCAAGGGAAAAAGGTTCGGAAATTGTTGAGAAACAGGATCACAATGCAGCTCTTCAAAAGGACACAAAGACCAACATTCCTGCTCTGTCAACGGAGTGAGTAGAATTTTAATTTTTTTTATCCGAATCCGACCATAAATCTAGTTATCTAGAAGTTTATTATTGATCTAATCAGTATTGTATTGACACTATTATGACGATGTGAACGATATATCGACGTCAATATTGAATGTTTAACCATATTGACAATACAAACTGTCGTGTGGAGTGCACTTTATTACAGTGATAATCCAATTTTATCAGTCTACTCTTTGAATATCTTTTCTTATGTTCTACGAAAGCTGTGTGATTTTCCAGTGGAATCATTGCATAAAACATCCATCTTGAAAATAAATGAGAAAGATTTGGAATTGAGGTTATGTGAATTTATAAAAATATAAAAGTCTGATGCGTAGAGGGACTGACAAAATCGGTTCATTACTGTATAATTATTTCTAATATTCTGAATGAATACAATTTGTCTGTTTATTTAAAATTTTATGAAAAATCTCAGTTCTAACGAAGAACCGGAAATTGTTGAGAACCAGGATGAGAACGCAGATCTTGTATTGGATACGCAGACCGACATTCCTACACAACCAACCAATGCGTCAACGGGGTGAGTAAAATTTGTTTATTACTATTTTGAGTTTTCAATGTTTTGATTCAATACGATTCGTTCTTTTATCTTCAATGTTAGGGAAAATCTCAGTTCTAACGAAGAACCGGAGATTGTTAAGAACCAGGATCAGGACGCAGATCTTCTTATTGGTAAGGAGATCAACATTCCTGCTGCATCAACTGGGTAAGTGAAATTTTAATTTTGTTACGCGAATTTGGTCATGAAGTATTTTGCAAAAAAATCTTCGTAATCTCTTTGTTTATTATTGTTCTAATGACTGTTTATTTGATAAAGTGGACGCCTAATTTCAGTTACCACTATTTGGTTTGTCATTTAAACTTGATGCTTTTTTTTCGGCAAATATGAACCTCTGCCTTCAAGCAACATAACAAAATTTATAAATTATAAAACATTCAAAGTTACATGCTATTTAAACGAAATTGCAAATCACATGTCCATTCTAGATTTCTGCACATTGTTTTCAGAATGCATATAGTCATAATGGATGAACGAATTTTCCAATTCTATCAACCCAAATCAAAAAAGATATTAGTTTCCTAAAAATATATACATATGCACGTTAATTCAACACTTTTGGTGTTGTTTTTTCGTTCGATATTTATGAATTCGGAACAAACAATTTTATACTTCCAATTCCCAGAAATCTATGTACCGTAAAATGGGGTATCTTTGATAATGAGGGTAACTTTGATAGTATAATGTAAAGATTAAATTTAAGTCATATTAAATTTTAAATTAGAAACATTGGTTCCATATTGTATTTCCGTTAATATTGTGTATAGTTTTTATATAGTATGTGTTACATATTTTACAAACATATTAAAAAACAATTTTCGTGTGTTTCGCCTGTTTGAAAAAGCACTCAAACCATTACTTATGAAATGTATTTACGATATAGCCATTACAAATTCAATGTTGTATTCTTATTGCTTATGATGTTTTCTGATTATATTCCCATTCAAAGTTTCATATTCAAAGAACTAAATTGTTTGAGTTTCAACCATATTTTTCTACATTCATTATCAAAGTAACTCCAAATCAAAAAACTGAAGTTCGGTCACAAAACTAAAAATATAGTACAAATGCTTTAATTTCCTTTAAACATATTACTGACGAACTGACTCTTGGATCCTCAGTACTTGTTTTAAAAATATAAAATTTGGAAAACATTCATTGCTGTAAATATTATTTAGAATATACTTTGAAAAACTATCAAACTATCAACTATCAACTACTCCATTTTATGGTATATAAAAATGAATTTCTGTCTGTCTGTCTGTCTGTCTGACCCTTATAGACTCGGAAACTACTGAACCGATCGGCGTGAAAATTTGTATGCAGGGGTTTTTGGGGCCAGGAAAGGTTCGTATGATGATTCGAAACCGTCCCTCCTCTGTAAGGGGGGGCTCCCATACAAATAAAATAGAAAATTCTGCATAACTCGAGAACTAATCAAGCAAATGGAATCAAACTTGGCATGTGAAGGTCATAGGGGGTAGCCCCTGAGATAAGAGGAGGGGGAGACCACGTACAATATAGCATGCTTTTTTTAATCGGCGCATGAACTCAAGCTAATTATGAATCTCGAGCAAGGCCGGGCACACTCAGCTAGTAGTTTATAAATAAACTGAGCAAGAAAACATAAAAAGAGAAAAAAGGAGATATTTGTTTCCGGTTTTGCGCATAATTTTTCGATTGAGGCAAACTTTGAGCATTGAGTTAAAAAGCTTTGCATTCAGTAAGCAATACATAATATTGTTTGGGTCATACTCTATGCTTATACCGAATTAGTCATACCAATACAATGTAAACGGCACAGGTGATTTTTAGTTTACAGTGCTTAATCAGGCCCGAAAAAGTTTTCATTTCAAATTTGTTCCTTTAACAATAACACTGTGCCAAAATAACAAAAATATTCGTTTTTTTTAACTCTTTATTTGTTTCAAATTCAAAATAAATTACATTTCATTTTTAACCTAGGTGCTCCAGTTACTACAGTAACTTACCAGCCTTAATTGTTATGATATATATCTAAGTATTTTTACATTGTTCCTGTCTTGGCAATTAAGTATTTTAAACAGGTTTTTTTTAAACCTGCATGTCAGTATAACAATTGATATCTTAGAATTAAAAACTAAAACTAAATCTTATCTAAGTATAAAGGGAATTAATCGTTGCAATTGAGGATTGCAACGATTTTTGCCAGAAATTATTAATTATTTTGTTGGACATTTGTTCTAAAGTCTCAACATTCGAAATTCTATGTAACTCAGTAGTACTGTACCAGGGAGGCAACTTCAAAATCATCTTCAGAACTTTGTTCTGCATCCTTTGAAGTGCTTTTTTCCTGGTAGTGCAACAACTAGACCATATTGGCACAGCGTAAAGCATGGCCGGTCTAAAAACTTGTTTAAATATTAGAAGTTTATTCGTCAGGCAAAGTTTGGATTTCCTGTTTATAAGAGGATACAAACATTTTATATATTTGTTACATTTGGCTTGAATGCCCTCAATGTGATCTTTAAAAGTTAATTTATGGTCAAGTATTAATCCAAGATATTTCACTTGGTTTGACCAGGAAATTGGAACTCCGTTCATAGTGACTATGTGACTACTACTAGGTTTCAAAAACGAAGCTCTAGGCTTATGTGGAAATATTATAAGTTGAGTTTTGGAAGCGTTGGGAGAAATCTTCCATTTTTGTAAATAAGAAGAGAAAATATCTAAACTTTTCTGCAGTCTGCTGCAAATAACACGAAGACTTCTTCCTTTAGCGGAAATGCCTGTGTCATCAGCGAACAAAGATTTGTGGCAACCCTGAGGCAAATCAGGGAGGTCCGAAGTGAAAATGTTATACAATATAGGCCCAAGAATGCTACCCTGAGGAACTCCTGCTCTAACAGGTAGTCGATTAGATTTGGAATTTTGATAATTTACCTGCAGAGTTCTGTCAGTTAAATAATTTTGAACTAATTTCATAATATAAAGTGGAAAATTAAACTTTTTCAATTAAGCAATCAAACCTTCATGCCAAACACTGTCGAATGCTTTTTCTATGTCTAGAAGAGCAACTCCAGTTTATTTATTTATTTGTAGTTTGTTACAGTAAACAGGTTAAAATACCCAAATACCCAAAGTTGAGTGGCCTTCCGATTTGTTTGAACGAATTAAATTGGTAACTCTTAAGAGTTGATGAGTAGTTGAATGCCCATGGCGAAATCCAAACTGCTCATCTGCAAAAATTGAGTTCGTATTGATGTGAAGCATCATTCTATTTAAAATTATCTTTTCCAAAAGGTTACTTATTGAAGAAAGCAAACTTATTGGACGGTAGCTAGAAGCTTCAGTTGGATTTTTATCCGGCTTCAAAATTGGAACAACTTTTGCATTTTTCCATTTATCAAGAAAGTATGCCAAATGGAAACATCTGTTAAATAATTTTACCAAGAAAGACAAGGTACTCTCTGGGAGTTTTTTGATGAGGATATAGAAAATACCATCATCACCTGGAGCTTTCATATTTTAAAAATTTTTAGTTATAGACCTTACTTCGTCCAAATCAGTCCCCCAGGAATCATCAAAAATATTTTCCCGAGAGAAAATATTCAGATAATCCCGAGCAACCTGATTCTCAATGGGACTAGTTAGACCCAAACTGAAATTATGGGAACTCTCGAATTGCTTAGCAAGTTTCTGAGATTTTTCCAAATTTGTGATCAAAATTTTACCACCTTCTTTAAGCGCTGGAATAGGCTTTTGAGGTTTTTTTCAAAACTTTTGTGAGTTTCCAAAAGGGTTTGGAACTCGGGTCTAATTTAGAAACATTATTTTCAAAAGTTTTGTTCCTCAGGGCAGATAATCGTTTTTTAATTTGTTTTTGTAAATCCCGCCAGATAACTTTCATGGCAGGATCACGTGTTCTTTGATATTGTCTCCTACGGACATTTTTAAGACGGATCAAGAGTTGAAGATCGTCGTCTATTATAATTGAATCGAATTTAACCTCGCATTTTGGTACTGAGGCAGCTCTTGCTTCAACTATAGAAGTAGTCAGAGATTCAAGAGCATAATTAATTTCATCTTTGGTTTGCAAAGGAATGTTTGGATCGAAGTTATATTCCATAAATGTTCGATATTGCTCTCAATCAGCTCTATGATAATTAAAAATAGAGCTGTTGGGATTACAAATTATTTCTTGGGATATTTCAAAAGTTACTGGAAGGTGATCAGAACCGAAGTCAGCATGGGTAACCAATTGGCTACAAAGTTGACATGAATCAGTTAAGACCAAATCAATAGTGGAGGGATTTCTTGCAGAAGAAAAGCATGTTGGGCTGTTTGGATATTGAATAGTGCAGCAGAATATTACCATTGGAATTGCTTTGAGCATTATTCCATGAGCGGTGTTTTGAATTAAAATCACCAATAATGAAGAATTTAGACCTATACGAGTAAGTTTCGCAAGGTCACCCTTGAGAAAATTCTTTTGAAATGGCAAATAGGCAGCTATAAACGTAAGTTGTCCAAATTTTGTTTCAACAGAAACTCCCAAAGTGTCAAAAACTTTGGTTTCAAATGAAGAAAGAATGTTATGTTTGATTCGTCTATGAATAATGATGGCAACGCCACCACAGGGTCCATCAAGACGATCATGTCTATAAATTAAATAATTTGAGTCCTTCTTAACCTTATGGTCAGGTTTAAGGAACGTTTCAGTTATAACGGCAATATGCACGTTATGAACTCTCAAAAAGTTAAATAGCTCGTCTTCATTATCTTTAAGAGATCGAGCATTCCAATTTAAAATGTTTAAAGCTTTAAAATCCATTACTGAATTTTAAAGTCATGACAATATTATTAGCAAATTGAGTTTGAATAGCATCAAACATGGAGTTAGATTTAAGCATATCAGAAATCATGTCAATTAATGAATTCTGTAAAAATTCCATTTTAGGGGCAGTAATGCTTCCCAAGTCAAAATTGTCAAAATTTCCGTTAGAACGTTGGTTAGTATTTTGATTTCTACCCGCTGCAATAGCAGCATAAGTAGCTCCATTAACTCGCTGAACATTGTTAGCAGCGAGGGGAGTAGGTACACGTGAAACATTTGAAGCAGGGTTAATATTTGTACCTACGGGTCCGAATGTAGAATTTGTTCCTCGCTGACCGTTGTTAACAGCAGAGGAATTTGTACCTGGTCGGAAACGTGGAGCGTTTCCTACCTGATGGTTAGAACGAGATTGTAGGATCGCTTTGCGAGTCTTGCCTTCCCAAAAATTGGATTTGTGGTTTTCACCACAATTTGAACATTTAAATTTCTTAGGATCTTCCTTCACAGGACAGTCGTCCTTTGCGTGAGAGGAATCACCACAATTCATGCATTTAGCTGGCATGTAGCAATTTTTAGTTCCGTGACCCCATCCCTGGCACTTA